TATTTTCCAACATAATTTTTTTGAAAATATCTACCAGCTATAATACGAATCTATTATTATGAAGGAATAGGAGGAAACGCGAGCTCTTATTCTAGATGTCGAATATATTTGAACAAGCTAATCTTCATTTATATGTATGGAAATTCACATTTTTATCAATTAATATGTTGGAAGTGTCCTTACTGTGTTTGTTGTTATAGTTTCGTTTATTGTATTGCTTTTTGATTTTAGTATTACTATTGCTTAAATATTTCTTCTGTGTTTAATATGTCTTTCTAAATAATGTTATGTATTGTTTTGTGTTTATTGAAAATTGATTAAGTTTGTAAAGAGAGAAAAAACCACGCATGACTCCCTTTTAAAATTGGGGGGCAAATGTAAGGATAGTTAAATTAGATTAAAAATTAAATTCCTATCTAGCACTTGACTCATTTTTCTCAGTTCCCATCTTCAAGTATTAAACTAATCACCCATTTATTTCTTACGAACATATGGCCTAGCCAACAAACATGTCTAATTCCAGATCGTTAGATTTAATAGTCAACATATGTCAGCATTAACTTGCAAGCAACCTCTTCAAAGCAGCGATACTTACCATATGTTTTTCAAGTGTTATCCACTTGAAACCACCACCATGGCGTGCTTTTTACTCCCTGCCCTTAGTGTCATTAGAAATGTCGAAACGATGGAATAAAGATCTCCTTTTTTAAACTTTAATCTGATTCTGTCTTTAAAATCATGACATATATATATACACTGCTGGACAATTGCTAAGGACGGATCACAAATTGCTATGTAGCATAACATTAAGCGAGGAATCAGGTCTAGTACGATAAAATATAGTTGCCACACTGTTCAGACATTAGAATAAAGAATATTTATTGTTCTGGAAAGTACAAAAGCTGTGAAACATCTGAAAGAAAAAAAATGTTCATTTGATCTGCGTACAGAGAAATGGAACAATGCATCTAAAAGACAGCAGGCACCTTAAAGAAAAGTATCAGTACGGGATATGTCCACCGTGGAGTGTACTTCAACATTCCACACGTCGTACCATACTTTGCACAACATTATCCAGCAGCTGTTGAGGCAATTTATCCCATTCCTCTGTGAGTGCACGGATGAGGGCGTTCTTGTTTGTCGGAGGATAGTTTCGACCAGCAACTTGCCTCCCCAAAGCATCCCACACATTTTCAATGGGGTTTAGATCTGGAGAACGCGCTGGCCATAAGAAACGTTGAATACCCTCGCTGTCTAGACAATCCTGAACAGCGAGTGTTCGATGACATGTTGCGTTGTCGTCCATAAAAACAAATTTATCACAGACAACACCACGGAAAAGACGAACATGAGGAAGTAGAACTTCATCAATCATAGCTCGTCATAGTCCCATTCGCAACCACATGTAGGCGCGTGCGGCCATTGATCATGATGCCGGCCCACACCATGATGCTGCATGGCGGATATCGGTCCTTTTCCTGGATATTTTCTGGACGATAAGCAGTACCACTCTCGCGCCAGATCAGTTGGCGTATACAATCCGATGACAGACTGAACCTACTCTCATCTGAGAATAGTACGCATGCCCAGTCCTGTTCAGTCCAATTGTGATGCTCACGATATCATTGCAAACGGGCAGTACGGTGCTGTCTGGTCAATGGGACACACACAACAGGTCTGCGTGCGTATAATCCTCCTCCCCTCAAACGTCTGGCAACAGTTTTTCGGGAGATCTGCTTTCCTGAGGCAGCAAGAAACTGATTTGCCACCTCTGGGCTATGAGGCGCCTGTTCCTTTTTGCTGATAGGACGATATATCTGTCTTCTGCAGGCGTCGTACTTCTAACACGACCTCCCCCGTGCCGTCTACTACACATTCCAGTAGTTTTAAATGACTTCCACAGCCGTGAAACAACGCTGTGAGCGATGTCGAACTCCCTGGCAACATCTGTTATTTTTCGCCCTTCTTCGATCTTTCCAATAATTCGGCCACGCATAAAATCATCTATGTGATGTCGGGAAGACATGCCAAAAATTTTAAGTTCGTCTATTAAATTTTTCCTGTAAAACTTTGACTTGAAACAACAACTGTCCACACGCGTCAAAACCTTTAAAGCTCTTATGAACGCTGTCACGTGATGAACAGACGTGGAAAAAAATTTGCATACTCATATTTCTTCTTATTAATATCCCGCACTTATTGTAATTTTCCACATTTTGCTTTCTTTCATTTTGTGGTTGCTATGGATGACAGTGTTATCCGTCCTTAGCAATTGTCCAGCAGTGTATATATATAAAATTGGTAGATTTCCAGTCTACGTAAAAGATTGGAAAAAGTACTCCAATATTCAACGTAAGGCTGTGGTAGCCCAGTGGTTAAGGTATCGGATCATGGCAGGCATGAGTTCGAGCTCAGTACCACTAAAGACCCGCCTTGTAGGGGAGGGATATACGTTAAATCTTACGAGAGCTCTAACGTCCTCCCATTGGTGTGGTGCGGTAGTTAGGAGAGGGGGGTGCCAGTTCAGGTGTCGCCCTCGTCACTTGACCATGGTTCAAAATTACGTGGTCCGCCGCCAAAAGCCTTTGCGTAGCTAAACAGTGCGGCGTTAATATTCACTTAATCATTCACCCAATATTCTATGTAGATTTGAATATTATTTATTTAAAAAAAACAGCGTACCTCAGTGCATCTCAAACTTTCAATATTGGCGCCCTCCTTATCAATCACAATTTTTATCGCCTCCCCCCTTATACATTAATAATGTACCGAATGCAATAATAATGCACTTTGACGCTAAAGCAACAATCTTTATTATAAACCGTACAAATTCATGACATAAGTATTAAATTTTGTATACGTTACTTTTAAGCAAAAAAATTAAGTAATATGATAATTATTATGTTATTTTTCCTTTCTCTAATTTTAAAATTGGAACACATTGCAAAATGCGGTGGTTGCTTAGAAGACAAAATATAGATATCAGCTAAATATAGAAAAAGACTTCAGAGAGTCAATTTCTAATCATAAGCATTCCTTTGAAAAACTTTGCTCTGTAAGACAAACCCATGGAAGTCGCTAATACTTATTAAACTTGTTCTTAATTTAATATTAATTAATTAGTTATAAAATACTCTGTGCAGCACTGATACATTAAAACTATACCGGCTGAAGTACCCTCTCTTTGCACGAGTTCATTTATAAGAAAATAAAACATTATTGATGTAATCGCTTAATTCTAAGGAGAGTAAAGCCAAGTGCGTGACAATGTTTACAAAAATGTAAAATGATTTTTTAAAATCATTGCTCAAATTATAATTAGTTTTAAGTGAACTGTAATTTTAAGCCTCACAGAATTAGCATTTAGAATTGATGTTGAATAATGAACAATAAAAACAATTCTAAAGAAGAATAATTGTATTATTTTTAATATTTAAAGCGAAAAGACTTCAACATGTTTTAACCCTGGAGCAGGCGCGCACTCGATACTAATGCTTGAGCGGGGTTATAGAGTCACCCCAATCCTTTCCTTTTATAATTATTTTTATAGTACAAAATAAAATTCGTAATTCCAGTGTATAATTTAATTAAGAGAAAATATACTCACCTACTTTCAAGGACACAGAAAATATTTCGGAAAAAAAGTTATCACACGGGAACTCAGATAAAACAAGTACATTAAGATTGTAAAAAAACGTTTGTCACACTTCCAAAAAGAGGGAGATGTGTGACAAGTATATTGTAGTTCACTTTAAGACTGTCAAACAGGAGGATAGTGTGAGAGCCATTGGTTACAATTAAACAGTTTTGCCAGAATAACCGATTTCGTGTAATCTATGCTCGGCGTGAACGCTCCCGGATTAAAAGTGTATTTATTACAATATTGATGTTCTAAAAATTATGTAAAACGTTTTTCATTATGCTTTATATGTTTGGGAATACTCATAAAAATAAATCTTGGCCTAGTAATTCTTCAAACTTCCCTAAATGAAAAAACAAATACATAAGAGCAGGGACGTAACTAACCGTACAAGTAAGTTCGAAGGTCAAACCGCAGCAAATACATTCTGCTGCCTACAGATGATGGCAATAATATATAACAGTGATGAATTTTTTATCTTCCTAAAATTTTTTTGATTATGGGTCTGGGTTTTGTCTTTCCTCTGAAAGAGTAGCATTTTCCTTTTGAAAAGAAAACGTGATAAAAAAAACTCTCATCATGGAATGACAGCAAATCAAATCAAATGTTTTTATTTGGTTATAGTATCAAAGATATTTAAAAAATGAGGTTTTGATGTAGAAGCTTTTATTTTTTATGACGTAATATCGCAGATTATATATATATATATATATATACATATATTATTTCAGTGTAAATGTGTATTTTTTTTATTATGTCAGAAAGTATTTTGTTTAACTTCATTCCAGTAAATAAATTTTTTTAATCTTTTATTTTCGATATGCTCGCACCCCACTTGTAGGTTTATCGCGCCCCCAGGGGGGAGCGCTCGACAGTTTGAGAAACACTGGCATACCTGATGAATTTAAAGGGTTGTAGTTCTAGAAGTGCTCTATTTTTTAAAAGCCTGGGATAATAACCTCGAATAAATGACTTAAAAATAAGAGAATTGCACACGTACATTTCAGGTTCTTATTTAAAAAAGAGGGTGAGCGTTATACGGTGAATATGCCTAAAAATAAAACAAGTAATATATAAAAAATTTAATTCAATTCCTACTTTGGCCGACAAAGAAAATTTTTATTTTAGTTACTTTTCACTAAACAGTCACAATTGATATAAATCTGTCTATACATAGGACAGAATCACACTATTAAGTGACAAAATAGAAAGCGATTTTCCTTGCAATTTTCCATTTTCCTTTCCGTATATGGAGTTGGACTCCTTTTTTTGTTTGTTACTATTTATTCATGAATTAAATTTAATTGTTCAAAAGTAAAATAGCATAGTAAAAAAGAAATCGCATTATCAGAAATTAGGTCATCCCATATGGGTTTCGAACCCACGACCTTTGGATTAGAAGTCCAACACGCGCGCTATCCATTGCGCTACAGGGACACAAAGGAAAATTTTTCTTTCTATGTATGCTACTGGACTATTATTTTTGTGTGTTACTATTTATTCATATTTTAATTTAATTAATGAATTAATATTTGAAAAAATGTATTAACATCAAGTGTCATCCACTGCAAGTTTAAAAAATGTATTTGAACTTGAATAGATGAATAGAAAGTATTTTATTAACGATTGAAAATTTAAACAAGATATGTATGTATGTTTATAATGCGTATTACAGAAATGACAGGATGGAATCTTTTAGCTTGACATGGGTTACTAGAAATTTGTGGTGATACGGGATCTGGTGTGACGTCAATTGAAATCAAATCCATCTTGTACCTGTCAATTACAGATTCTCATCAAAGTTGCTGGATCATGTCCGACATGATCACGTTATTTCTCGGTAGAACAATCCGAATTCGCTTCAGGCAACAATTCAATACTTGTACCAACGATTATTCCAATAATTCAAGAGTAAAACAATTCAAGTTAAAGTAATTATACATTAATGTGCCTTTTTAATAAGTATTCTTTTCTGTCACTTCTGGGAATTGTAAACTTTTTCACATTTCTCATTTAGTCCATATATGAATACTAACCGAATAAATTTTCTACTTTTAATTAGCTGAATCTGTTTATTGTACTGATTACTCAACATTTGAAATTAAAGAGTTTATGAAACTCTTTTGTTCTGTATTAACAAATGATTTAAGAAAAAGAAATAGTAGAAAGAAACTTTTAAATAGTTTGTACATTTATTTCCGCATCATTAGGGTAATTTTTCAAAACTTGAGTGCAATATACGTACATTATAAAATTTAATTATTTACATCATTAATGAAACTAGTCGAAATTTGATTTCAAAGCTATTGTGAAAAAAAAAGTTAAATTGTTATTAGAAATTAATTTCAAGCTTGTGTGTCTTTTTAAATGACATTTCGAATTCTTTTTTTACAAGTTGTGCTTTTTTTTTCAAACAAAATTATTTCTTCTTTTTTTATTCTTTTAATTTCTAATAAGCATGCATAAATAATATTTTACCAGTATAATCAAAGAAATTAGCAAAATACACACACACACACACCACACACATTTTAATTTTCATCAAGATCAACATAACACGTGTACTGATTAACCCATTCACTGCCAGGTAAATTGCGGACGTTTTGTCCTGGATTCCAGGTTTTATTTTAAAGAAAACATGACATTTTATAAAATATAATAATATTAAGTGGCTGATATAATATTGTAATATATATGGCATTTAAATTAGTTTTAATTAAAAACAAGTAATATAAAAAAATTTAAGTCAACTCCTACTTAGATCAACCAAGAAAAATTTTATTTTAGCTGCTTTTTATTAAATAGTTACAATTAATATAAATATGTATATACATAGGGCAGAATCACAACATTAATGGTAATTAATAAAAAATAATTACCACTTAAAGTATCGTATTGTCATTCAAAACAACCATGTCTATAAAATTTCAGTTCAACTGAATACTTTATATAAAACGTGAGAAAAATTTTTTTAAGGTTTTGTGTGTGTGTGTGTGTGTGTGGACCAAAGTCTCTCGTTAAAAATAAAACCGACGGAGCTGTACCTGTAATTCTTTAAATAATTAGTTTTAATAAATTAATTTTTATTAATTATAATTAAATTACTGTATTGTCATCAAAAATAATCGTGTATATAAAATTTCAGCTCAATGGAGCGCTTTGAAATGTATTTTATTTACGATTGAAAATTCCACCAAGATAAATAAATAAATAGAGAGTGTAAGCTAATAGAGGAATTGAAAAAACACTACAAAATAACTCGTAGCTGGCGTCACTGAACAAGATTCCCGTGCTGAGTGCCAGATATTAGATACCTCTCTCTCTCGTAGTGATTTTTTTTTCAATAAAAATCTTCAAATACAAACACTTTCTTTTCGTTTGATTCATTTTACAAGCTCGCTACCTAATTTCATTTTGCGACAGTCAGTTTTTGATACAGATGTGTAATGATCTTCGCTGGGAAAAACCTATAAGGCGATGGCAGTTATAAAGAGTTGTAAAGTAATAAAAAATGGACTGAAAAGTAATAATAGGTAAATTTTTGTAAAACTATCCGTTGGTACAAAAAAATTGCTCTACTCTACTTCGAAATCTTCCTACAGAATGCATACATGATATATAACTGAAGAAATGGGAATAAAAAATGAGGAAGCGGCAATTTTGATGGAATCAGTTTGTGTAATTTATTTGAACGACGGCAGAAATTTAGGAAAAAGCAACTATAATACAACTGATGTTCATTCACCTTCCTTCCACAGGAAAAAAAGAAGGCCTATCAAGCGTTATTGAATGTGTACAAAGCAAAAAACAAAAAACTTAAGAAGACTAGATATTTTTGTCCAATGTATCCGAACAACCCAGCACATGGGGTTACAGTTACAGTTAATATCTTTATAAGGGATTTAGAGCAACAAAGGCTATTAGCTCAAGCACTTGGGGTTGACCCTTGCTTTAAAGCTCATCATACACAGTAGCAAAACAACAACAAAATATTTGTTTAGTTTTGGGAATACATTTATTTTTTTTTATAATTATTATGTTATAATCTAAGATCGTCTAAGTTTTAATTTTAATAATAAAAAGTGACAACTAATATGTTTTTTGCTCTACATAAACTTTTCATTCTTCCTTTCTAATAATTTCTAACTCAAAGATTTGTAATTAACCTAAAATTGCTACACACACTATACGATACCTCGTACTTGGGGCAGTGAATGAGTTAATTGATTTTAAATTGCATCGCTTTATGAAGCAAAATAGGGCCCATTGTCAACGAATCACAAAATTTAGAACTTAAGTCTAGTGAGGAGGATGACGTTTGAGCTGATACCCCCTTCACCAAACTTCACACAACGCCAACGGAGGGAAATTGAGCCACGACATTTTTAACATTCTAATTCTATACAACTAGTCTTCAGTTTCATTAGGGATCGAACCTGTGACTCGACAACGCAGGCCAAGTGTTAGCGACTATGATCAGATGGCTACCGTGACCACATAACACGACCCGAAACGATTTATGCAGAAAGATGGATTAATTTCTGTAGATCTTAGAGAATTGGAATAGATGGTAGCAGTAATATATATATATATATATATATATATATATATATATATATATATATATATATATATATATATATATATATATATAACGCATTAATTATTGAGTTATCCTATTTAAGCTTTAACAGAAACCCAGAAATGTTTGAATTGCATGTTTTAAATTTTGACATTTTTTTCCTCGATGTCCTCGAAACGTTTCTGAATTCTTTTATTGCGTGATCTGAACAGTAAAACAGTTATTAACACTGCTATAAATCTGTATTTATCACTTTCATTCCGATAAAAAATTTATACTTAAAAAAAATATATTGCTATTAAATCTGTAAAAATTCGATCACGCCATTCAACCTTTGAGTTGAAAAAGTCTCATATCACTTTAAATTTGATACTTTTTTTCTTGCTAATTGCTTTAATAAAATCAAGACAATAGCCTCTTTTGGATGAACCTGTTTTTTACAGTCTTTTTTTATCCTTTTGTGAAATCTGATAGGACATAAAACTCAATTCTTGGTTTGAAATTAATAGGTTTTAAACTCGGCCATTCAATTTGCACCTCATAATTTTAACAATTATTTTCCTTTTAGAGAGAAATCTGGGAGCCAATACTCGCTTGAGAAGAAAGATTCTTTTTTGTAGCAGTAGACTCGAGGAACCAAGAGTTCGTTGCCCTGATGTGGTAGGTCTGGAAAAACATCATGAGGTTAAAAAAAATGTTATTTTTCCTTTATTTAAATTAAATGTGCGTGGTTTTCGTTCTTCTCATTATTAGAGAAGTGGAAATATTCACAAGACGTCATGAAATACTACAATCAACAACAAACTGCTCATCACTTTGTTCCGGTAAGTCTTCCAGTTAAAATGTTACCAATCTCTTGGATAAAATCTTTGATTTACGAATCATTATTAAAAATTAATTCGATTCATTTTTATGTATCAAAATGCAAGTTGATGCGAAATTTGAGAGAAAAAAATATATTCATTTGTTTTAATGTGTGGATAACACAGTATATCGTATTTTTTTTACAAATCTTTTTTTGAGAAAACCTTTGAATTTTTTTAATAAAAAAAAATGCTCTACAACATATTAAAAAGCACATGAAAAAGTTCTACTTATTTTTAAAATGTCGATCCATTTTTCTGCTTTTCTTTTCAGCTTGATGTTATATAATCTTCAAATGTCTCCTCACAGAAGAATAAGAATCGTGTTAGTTGATGTTTGAGCCGCAAAAAAATCTACTTTAAATCGAATACAGAAAAATAGGAAATAAATTTTAATCGCAACCCTGGGAATTCCAATTTCGTAATTTGTAAACGTATTTCAAAAGGTGCAATTTAAATGTTTTCAACGAATAATTTTCACAAATTATATGTTGGTTTTGTTATAATTGGTAGTATTGTTCCCATACACTTACTTTTTTTTATCTTTTCCTTTAATTACTAGTATTGTTTGCATGGTGGAAATTACTTGTAAAAAGAAATAATAACATCCATAAGAAAAACTATTATTGCTCAAAAGGCATTTTTGTAAAATTGTTTACTCGCATGCACATTAGAGAATTATTCATAATCTTCGTGAATATTTTTTATTCTTAATTGCAATTTTTTTAAAAAGTAATAGCTTTAAAATAAAAATCAACATATTTCTGTACTTTTAAATATTTTTACTAATTCATCACGGTAATACTTAACAGTTAATGGATTTCTTTCTTTTTTGCAATAATCTCAAAACGATCACAGTACATAATTTTGAACAGTAATAATTGCTTGTAAAAATGTATTTTTGCTTCTGTTTTCCTTGAGTGATGAATTAAAATAAGTGGAAGCTTTATATTTCTTAAAAATTAAAAGGATCTTCAAAGTCTATCGAAATG